GACGCCCCCTCGAGATGACGGAGCAATGTTCCCACATGACCGGACACTGATGGCTAATCGTTCCTTCCTACTTTGCCAACAGTGGCTCGAAAAGGTTTTGGGGTGTTGCGTTGTCACCCCATCTCGTATGACCGTCAGACCACACCTTCTGGGATACACGGACAACGGAAGCACCAGCCTGGGACACACAAAAGAAAGGCCACAGACGAGCTTGTTTTTCTCCGCCCTCACGTGGGGGGGCTCGCCTCGACTGCTACATCGCGAGGGGATGCTCGTCCAAAACGGAAAGTCCCCCTTCGGTGCAGCAGCACTACAGGTTAGAAACATCTTCAACCAGCAAAAAAAAAATAAAAACGCCCAAGGGGAAAGCGACCCGCATGATGACTACGAAACCAAACGTCGAAAAGTAACCGGATGGTAGCTACTTCTTCAAGAGTGGATCTTTTCGTAAGCGACGAAGACTATCTCTATGCATATATACAGCAGCAGTTGGCATATGCGCCGAACAACACCCGGCGGACCGCTTGCACCCCTCGGACCCACTATCAACTGAGCCGCTCGTCGTGTTATGCCAGCACAGAAACACGCCATCTTCTGGCACATCACTCCAGGAGCATACCCCGGCAATCCGAACAAAAAACGTACAATTAACATAACGGTAAGTGGTGAGTCGAAAAAAGCGCAAGCCCCATGATACGCGGAAGTAGTGGCAGTTGCTTGTGGCAGATGATGGTTGTTCCGTGTTTCCTGGACATGAAAAAAGAATGGGCTCTTGCGACTCAGTACGTCGCCTTCTTCCGTGCTGGTCTACACCGGTAGAGAACCAGCTGACATTCCACGCAGAATAAATGAAACATGGGGGAACGAAGACAAACCACAAGACACAGCAGTAAAAACATTTCTCCTCATGCCGTTTCGTGGGGCGGCGAGGAAAATCGAGCCACAACACAAATGCAAAGCCGTACACTTGACCGGCGAGGCAAAGGGACAGCCATGCCCACGACAACGCACATGTTCAGACCTTGCAGGTCACATCAAAAACACCGCCATAAACTCTGCACACCACAACTAGGACAACGGCAGCAGCAGCCGCGATCTCGTTTGCGTGAGCGGAGAGAAATTGACCTCCCACTCAAAAAGACGGTTTCAAAATTCCTCATTCAAAATTCCTGTCACACCACAATCACAAAAATCTAGCATTTGTAGTGCCGACAGAAAAGAGCAAGAGCTCACCATCGTCCCCGAGCAGTATGCGAGAAGGAACCACAGCACGCTCCCCCACGACGACAGCGCGAGCGCCGGCGCCAGGCTCGGGGCCCCGTCCCACGAGAACCCGTGAAGCACGCCGTTAAAAAAGATGGCCCTCTCCCCTCCGCCGCTCTTGGTCATGCCCCCGCCCCCCGGCGCTCCGCCCCCTTCCACGACCGCGCTGCCCGCGCTCTTCGCCTCGAACGCAGGGGTTTCTTCGTAGTCTAGGAGGGATTCCTTGAGGCCCAGGAGTCCGATGGCGATGAGGGAGACGCCGACCAGACCCTCCGTCCAGCTACCCATCATGGCCACGAGCCGTTTGTTGTGCCCGAGCCCCAGCCGGTCCTTGAAGAAAAACGCCTGCCGTTTGGGGAGGAAGGCGGGGTGTGCTCAGTCATTCCGTTGCCTGCGCTATGGAGTAGTGACTTGTTGCGCGAACCAGATTTTGAATACGGAAGCACCGCTGCCTAGGGCCACCGCAGAAAATATGGAGCCAAACACCATGTCTGACATAGAGGAGTGGCGGGATAGAGTGAATTTCTTTGCACGTACTACTCTGGCTTGAGGGGAACCTTTCCCGCGCTTGGTGGAAGGTAGTATTCTTGATGCACAGTTACTTCACCAAGGAGGTGTTAAGGGTGGCATGTTTGATGGTGTACGTCGCGCACGTGCCCAGGACGCTCTTCAGAGGACAAGGCTCGCCGTTTGGACGGGTGTCTTGCCGATATTGGTAGTGTTGACCGATACGTTAGGAGAAAGAAAACATGCCAGCAAATGCTACCCGCACATGCTACCACATTTCACGCTAAGGCACCATCGTGTGACAGCTCTACACCCGGCAGCAACGGCCGCTCCACCTTTCCTCGCCGACTCTGACGACTAATCACTTCGAAAGACAAGACGGAAAAATGAGGCCAAGCACGAGCACCAACACAACCAACACACGGCAGAGATGCTGTAACGTCTCACCGCAAGTCCGATGACCGTCGCGCTGAAGCCGTGGCCGAGTCCCCACGTGGCCCCGATTCTCATCGACTTGTGCCACTTCTGCCCCATGATGCGCGGCAGCAGCGCGGCTAGGTGGTCGGGTCCAGACACTGCGTGCAGGCCCCCCGCTAGCACCCCCCCTGGTGCAAAAGAGGCGTTCATTTCGTGTTGCGACCGAATGAGCAATGGGGTGATGCAAGTTCACCCTGGATACACAGCAGTGCACAGAGACACATTCCATTTTCTTATCCTGTTGCCACGACGCAATGCACAGAGTTATATCCACCCTTGTAAGGTCGTTTCTGAAGCACCGTTTTTTTCGGGGATTTTTTTTCTCTTTCAGTGAGGGAGGGGGTGGCCTGCCAGGGAAAAAAAATCAGATCCGAGGGACCTTGTTACCCTTTTCCGAATTGAGTTCCTGTGCGTCACAACATGCTTCAGGTCATGTTTTCGGCTGGTGTGCGCCGCACAAGACAGAGCACCCTGTTTTTGGGTCGCCTGCAGAGGGCATGTGTATGACCGCACGCCATTGACATATGTCGTCGGCCTAAGGCCTTCCTCTGGCTTGCGTGGTGGACTGATCGCACTCGGAGCAACCAGAAAAAAAAGGCAACGTCCAGCAACTCAACACTTCGATTCACACGTTGGTTTGCAGGCCGTGTGCAATCAAAAATGGACAACACGCTCTGGTTCAGAGGGAATGCGCATGACGGCGCGTCATCGGCTGCAGATTGTGGATGTCGTTGGCCTAAAGCCTCCCTCTGGCATACTTCAGTACGAAGTACTACGTTTTTTGCTTGGTAGCGGGTGACACACGGAGCTCACACGGGCCGGAACAAGAAAAAAGTCCAAAAAGTCAACACCGAAACACACTTCGGTTCACGTTTGCAGGCCGTGTGCAATCAAAACCGAACAATACGCCCTGTCTCTGGGATGCGAAAGAGGGAGTGTGTATGACCACACGCCATTGGCTGCAGATTGTGGATGTCGTCGGCGAAAGCCTCCCTCTGGCATGTGTTTTTGACTGGTCACACATGCAGGTCACACATGCAGCAGGCACAAAAACAGCTCTAAAGGCAAGAACGTCAGTAGAGCAAAGTGGCAGGGTTGACGTTTTCGACTCGTGTGCGGCCAACAAGACGCAGAAACCCGTGAATTATAGATATCTGCAGAGGGTGGTGCATGACCTCACGATAATGACCTCTGTTTGGGCAGCAATGTAGTTCATTCATCGTTCTGGCACGATCGGCGTGTGACACCCCCCATTTCTAACGGAGCGAAAAAATAAGCCCATTGCTGTTAGAAAATGGGCCTATTTTAGAACTCGCCAGCTGGAATCCTGCGAAATATTGGGCTGTGAGAATTTAGCCTCTAGGAATTTGCCGTTTTCCTCCGCGAAAAAAGCCAAAACAATTTTTTGGGTGGCTAAGAAAATGCCTCCCTCTCCCAATCCAAACCCCTGAAAATTCTTTGCGAAAGACACTAAGACACCGCCTAAAGCTGGACAGGGTCGCGGTGGGTGTAGTGGGTTTTCATTCACCGCGCTTGCGCTCATTGCTGTAGTGGTGCATGTTGACGGCGTCCGCATTCAACGATTGCAGAATGTTGCCTTTGGGCGAGCAACCCAAGGGCATAAAAATACAAAAAAAGCCACCTTTTCGGCCACCGCGTTCAGCAAATCCTCAGCGGTTACAGCAAGTGTCACCCCTTTGGCGGGACTTGGGAGATGAGAAACCGTTGTGCGTGCGTTTCGTCCATCTCCGGCGACATGCTACACCTTTCGGTGAGCACATATTGCTACACCTTTCGGTGAGCACATGTTTGACGTAGGGAGGAAGGCAGCACAAAATTTTGAATTTTTGTTTGTTTTTTCTCAGTATGACCCAACGAATCCATCTCTATCGAAGAAACTAGTCAAATGATAGATTAGCATTGAATCCATAGCGTCATATTTTCCCACCTTCCTCCCCCCTGCCTGCGGTGAAATTGAGGGTCACTTGTTCAAGGTATGCTGCAAATATTCCAAGTTTTGAAACTTGAAGTGATCGCGAACCTGGCGCAATCACGAAGCTGTTGACTCCAACAAAATTGAAGTGGGTGGCGTGGTCTGCATCTGTGTGTGTAGCTCTCATATTTAATCTGATAGCATCGAATACGTAGCTCTCCCGCTGGAGGTATTTGGGCAAGCTCCAATGCGACAGAAGGCGTTTGTGCAACCAGGACTGGTGGATGGCGAAGGACGATCCCAGTCCGCACACCCGTGGTCCTGTTCTTTGCGTAAGTGATTTGATTCGGCATTCCTTCTCTTCCGCATTGCACGCAAAATGGGGGCAACGTAGGTGGGCTAGGCGACAAGTTGAAGCAGGAAAAATCGTCACGTCCACATCCCACGGCAGTTGCGAAGCTTGCCAAGGCCAAACCGGGCTGCCCCCGGGCGTAAACTCGTCCTATCCGCTACATATCCGTGCGACAAAATCGTGATGATGACTTTTTGGGTTCAACACCAGTCTACATACACAGCGGGATACAGGTGTAGCAGTTGGGATCATATTTCCCCTGAACAGCAGCAATGCACGCGCAGGGTGCGACATCTCTCATCTTGACATAACACACCATACCTCCCACCGCTGCAAACGCGGCCGTGTTGGCCATAGCCGCGAAGGCAAGGCGCCGCCCGCCCCCGGGCGCCAGAACCCTCAGTCCCATCGTGGGCGATGTTGAAACCGCACCAGCGGCAGCGGTGCAGCCAGCGGCGGAGGAGGAGCACCCTTGTGCCGCTATTCGTCGCCGACCACGGCTCGCGCAGCCAAGAAACTGCGAAGTTGGTCCAAAAGCGACACCTTGCTGTTGCTGCTGCTGCTGCTGCTGCTGCGCCGACGAGTGTGTCCTTGAGCAGGGCCATCTACTGCTGCAGGGACGTGCCGCACGGGCTCCCGACATGGTCGTTACTGCTGCTGGCGCCATGAAGCCCCGCGCCCTTGTCGCCAGGGCTAGGGCCACCCCCGCCGCGAGCGTCCTTGCCACGACGACCACCATCCTTCCCCTGCTGCAGCGCCGGCTCCCTGCGTGTCGGGCACGTATAGGTTTAACAACAGATGAAACACACACACACACACACAAACACAAACACACACACACCCGCGAGGTGTGCGCATAGAGCTAAGGCGAGCGGTGGAGGAGCCACATGGTGGCCACCGCAACGCCAAAATTGGATCGTACATGAGCATCAACTTTGTAGGAGCCATGTATTTGCTAACAACGAACAGGGACGTCATGCCTGCCCATGGGTCTCACTGTTGCCCCACAGGTGGTTCTAACTCCTGTCGCGACTGGTGCTTCACGTTATACGGCGGTGGACAACATGGTAGCTCTGCCATCTGCGTGCAATGCAAGTTTACATGGGTTCCTTTAGGGAGGTACACGACGCACACCATGACTTCTCTCACGTTTGGCCGCGTGTCACAAGAACCGAGCTCAGGCACAGCGGGACAAGGAACCAGTCGTCGCTCCGAAACCCTCTTTCCTCCTTCCTATCCTGTAAGTCCTTGCTCTTCTCCTGGAAGCTAGCTGTCCAAGCAATGTGCGTGTTGCATGTCAGAGCGTGGACTTGACAACCAAACCAACCGACAACAGAGACAGAGCGGAGAGCCGGGGGGATAATCACGTACCCATAGTTTCGTCCTCTGATACTGCGTCCCCCCCTGATATTGCGTCTCCCCCGGCAAGATATGCCTGTTTGTCATCATGATACACTCACGAGATGGAGGGACAACACTGAAAACAAAGCCCTGGCCGTTGTAGACGCGAGGACGGTTCGCCTAGTTCTCCATTAGCTTCTCTCTGCTCTCTGCCCTTCGAGTCTGCTAACGCGGCATCAGCAGCAACAATGGAGCCACAGCGAAAATCCCCCCCGCGCCGATCGCCGAGGTTCGCCACGCTCGACCGACACGCAATAGCGGTATCACCAACAGCAACAGCATCACCCATTGCGGCGAGCTCGAACAAGAGGAGCATAGAAGAAGCCCATGGCAATGGTAGCAGTAATGGCGTTGGCGGTGGCAACCACAACGGGGACCCGGCCGCTATGCCCGAAGTCAAGGCCTGCTCCGTGACAAGGTCAGGGAAGAGAAGCAGGCAGCAAGACATAGTAGACAACAACGGCTTCGTCCGCCAACAGGTTGCTGCAGCAGCAACAGAAGCAGGAGCCAAATCTTCGGCAACACGGTCCAGCAAGAGGAACAGCCATGGGCCCGACGAAGAGAGCAACAGGGCCAGCGGTCAACATCAGGTTACCGATGTAGCAGCAACGGCAGCAGGGTTCAATGCCGCAACAGCAGGATTCAAAACAACTTTGGCAGCAACAAGGTCGAGCCAAGACATCGACGACGGGCGCGACAAAGACAGCGGTAGCGGCCAACAGGTGGTTGTAGCAGCGCAACCAGTGGTCAAAGCCCCGGCGACAAGAAGCCCGAGCGCGAAAATCAGCCCAGACGTAGACGAGGAGAGCAACACCGGCAGCTGTTGCCAGGAGGTTCTTCCGCCAGGAGGAGTCAGTTCCTCGGTGGGAGCAAGCTTCAGCGAGAGAAGCGGGCCACAGGTTGCTGTAGCAGCACCAGCTGTAGCCAGCGCCTCGGCTACGAGCTCCGGTGAGAGGAGAAGCAGCCCGGAGATCGACACAGGCAACGAGGGCGGCGGCCATGAACAGATTTTGGCTGCAACACCAGCAGTGTTAGCCCCGACGAGAGGCAGCCGCCAAGACTCTCGCCAGAAGGACAACAACGGCGGAGAGGTCCTTGAAGCAGCAGAAGCCGGGGTCTTGGCAACAAGCTCGCGCAAGAGGAGCATCCCCGATGCCACGAAAGGGGAAAGCAACAGTACTATCACGACCGACACCACCACCATCAGCCCTCATATGGCGATCCTCCGGCAGGTGCAAGCGGACCTTGGCGAGGCTGTGTACAGGTGTGAAGAGCTGCTGGGCAACATGGAGGAGGACCTATTGATGCGGCAGCCCAACGCCATGAGCGTAGCCAGCGTTGCCCAGGTAAACACCCATAACCTCAAGGTGCTGTCCGTTCTGTAGCAGAGTTTGATACACGTCCCAAGAGTCGTCCGGTTCCACCACTCAACACCTGCTTTGTTGGTAGACCTCTCCCCGCCCCGCCGGCGCCCTCCACGGCTCACTCCATGAATGTGGAGTTGTCATATATGGGGGTGGAGCTCCAGCTGGAGAGGGGCTCCGTAGAAACACGAACCAGGGGGAGAGCAACAAATGGCATCCTTGCACGAATACATTTAAACTATCGGGGGGGGGGGGGGGGTACTTCCGACACGGAGAGAAGGAGAGGAGAACCGCCCCCCTTTTCCTTCCCCATGACTACCCGATGGGGAAAAACTCAAGGGTGTTCACCGTTGCCCTGATGCGAGGTTCTATGACATCTGCATCAGTTTGAGCGCCATGCACGATACGGACAGCCCGCCCTTGACGATGATCACGACTACCGCTTCCACCCCTTCCGAACGAAACCCGCTCTCCAACGTCCGCCCAGGGATCGCCCGCGCCAGTTTCGTCCCCGGCCCCGTCCCCCCCCCCCTCCTCCCCCCCAGTCCTCCCTGGGTGCGCTCGGGCCTTCCCGCGGCATCGCGCTGCACCTGAAGGAGGCCAGGCCTGTGCGGTGAGGTCGAGCCGAGAGAGAGGATGTTTTCGCAGAGCTCTCGGACTTCGGTACTTCTGGAGAGTGAGTGAGAAAAAACATGCTAAAGAGCAGGTGGCAGGAGTTAGCAGTGGGGGGGGGGCTGTCTGATATCGATTGGATAATGCCCGTGCCCGGTAGTGTTGTTTGATTCGGCTGGTACAGACTGAATCACTAAGCAATTATGCTCTTTATATAGTACCGGTGTCCGGTTATAGCGCCGTCAATTCTCTGGGCACATGCCGGCAGTAAACAAGCCCCCCCGCTGTAGTTAGTTGTAGAATAGGCAGACAGCGGTAGGCGTTTCGTGGAGGCAGGTGTGTTTGATGTTCGACTCAGACGAGAGTGGCAGAGAGGAGAACAACGACGAAGGCCTACCTCGTGCTTCTGCAGCGCTTGAAAGCGAGGTACCTCTTCACTATATGTCGCCCGCGGAATGTTTTGAAGTTGCTTGAGCCACCCTGCCGCCTTGGGAGCGAGTGGGGCGTAAGGACACGCCCGCTAGTGGGAGAGGTTTAGGCGTTAGGGGGAAGACAAGAAAGCCCCTAACCGCTACCGGGGGCAGGGACAAAGATGCTGCCGCACAAGTGGTTCGAGGGAGACGTCGTGTTTCTCGAAAATTAAGTGCTATCTCGGCTAGTAGGGGACGGGGAACTTTCGTGTGGGTTTCTGGAAACGGGTGAGCTACATAGCTTGCTCGCGCTTCGCGAGAGGAAAAAGAATGGCAACAGGGTTTCCTTGCCCCCATCCTACCTCTTGTGACATCGATTGTCCGCAGTCAATGGATCGATTTGTTTCTTACGCTCCTTCCTGTTGCACTCCTTTCCGCCCGCCCCCAACGATCTACCCCCCCCCCCTCTCCTTCTCCGTCACGGGTCAATCAATCCGCACCTGTCCAGAGCCCAGTATCACGCCGACAACGCACGGGGGAGTATCGCCACGGGATTGACTCCCCCCCGGTGGGCTGCTACGCCAGCGACGGGGTGATAATGAGCGCCCAGCAGCAGCAGCAGCGGCAGCAGCAGCAGCAGCAGCAGCAGCAGCGGCGTGGCGGTGCGGAGGGTCAACAGGTGGTGGGCTACGACGCCTACCACAACAGGTGGGTGCCGCTGAGTCGAAGGGGGCTCGAGCAGCTAGCTCTAGAGCAGACCAAAGCCCGCGGTCTTTGTGGCGGTGGTGGTGGTGGTGGCAGTGATGCTGCTGCTGCTACCGCCGCTGCTGCTCCTGGCTAGTACCCCTCGAATGACTGAGGCTTCGGAATAGGACGGGGCTTGCCTGTGACAGCGGTACGCAGGGTGGTGTCACGGTAGCCCGTCCTTAGTAGTGGGGAGTGAGTGCGCGCGTCAAGCACGTAGGGGGGTTGTTTTCGGCGTCAAGGCCGTGGCTGGAGGAGGAAGACTCTTTCAGCCGTTGGCTCAGACGATGTAGGCAACAACTGCGGTCGGGGGCACTCATACACCTCTTGGGATATTTTGGAGATTCACTGTGCGGCTTGTCTTTTGCTTGGTGCTACATGTTTCCCTTTAGCTGTCGTAGAATTTGGTTGTCTGTCCTACCCATGGGTACCAAAGGGTTGGAGGTTTGTAAGCATTAGCTGTTGTTGGCGTTTTTTAGTCATTTTGGTGTTTTTTCGTACACAGCGGCGTCACCGGGTTCAGTGCATTTTGATTTTTCGATGTTTTCGCGGGGTATCGATCACAAAGATGAAGCAGATACATACGGCCAATTTGTCAAACCCGCCCGACACCATTGTCAAAGCACACCTGTTCCACCTTACTCCAGAAGCTCCGCCAATGGTGCTTGTGCGGTGTTGAACCCCATTTTGGGCGATTGCGCCCGCGCATTGATGGTGCACAAGCAAGACCTAGCATATGGCTGTGGTCGCCAAACGAAGGCAGTCAAGGGTTGAGGGACGTGTGGACGCCGTCCGGGATTTTTGCTCGGAGGCGTACTTTCGCGGGGATGGAAACCTTGCCCCCCCCGGAAACGTTTTGGGTGTACCGGAGCGCAATACACGAGTAGGGTTCGAGAGCTTGGTGTTTTGGCGTCACTGAGGTGGGGTTTGTCCCACTCCTGTGTTGTGTATACTTTTTTTGTGTTTCAAACGTACACCTGTTCACTCGTCTTGTTAGGATTTACATGAGCAAAAGGTGTAGTCTAGATCACCTGTTGTCCGACGGAAGGCTGAGTGCAACATGAATCCAATGGTCAGATTTGCACAGGTTGTTGTGTTGCTGTCTGTTTTTTGTGGCTGTAGACTAACGGTCAGTGCGACCTGTAGCACACGTGCTCATTGTACAAGATTGGGCGAAAAATGGTGATTTGCAGTGTGCTTGAATGGATGTTTTTGTTTTTGAATTCCAGATGTTGTTGTTCTCAATTAGCCTACAGATGGCTCCAGCACATTGAAAATTATCTTCTTGTGCCAGGGTCGTCGTGCAGTAGCTACTGCGCCCCGCAACAGATACCAGTGCCGGCGGGCGCTCCGGCACCGGCGTCCCACTCAAATTATTCGACTTTCGTTGTGTAGATAGAAAAATGCACACGACAGAAGCTCTGCTGACAGTTGGTTGCAGGACGACCGCTTTCGTCTCTGCCACACCCTCTCTCCTTGGTCTCAAACGAAATTAGTCCTATTAGTCGCTGCTGGTGCCTTGGAAGAATCTGAGAGATTACCAGTCCTGGTGCGTGTGTTCCGCCGGCGTGCCGCAATATTCAGGGAAGCTAGCAGATATTCCGCCACCCCTGTGTGCCATTTCCTGACGAACCTATAATTACAAAAACGAATGAGATGGAGGATCGCAAGATCGTGACGGGAAACAGAAGTTGGTCATGTTTGAAAGGGAAATTGACAAAAGTGGGTATACCCACGCCATTCTCGGACAAAAGTGGGTACTCCAAAATCCAGCGCGCGCGCCCTCCATACGCGACCCCCAAACGACTCGAAACCCCATTCTGACACCTGGACGACACAGCCAGGGACCATACACAGCACGGGCATCGATTTTTTCCCACTTTCAGGCACACCTGTAGCCCTAACACCGCCGAGGCGCGGAAGGCCTCACCAGAGTGCCCACTTCTGTCCGACATCGTGGTGGGTATACCCAGCGGCGTCACTAATTTTTTCATTTTTCATATATTTGTATTTTGGCCCACGTCTGTCCAAATTGTCCCCACTTTTGTCCACTTGCGGACAGCGGAAATCGGGCAGAAATCGACCTGCACGTCACCGCACGGCAGAACATCAAATAGCCTCGGAACGTCTCAGAACCTCCCAACGCCGTATCCATAGCATCTTTCCTATCCATGGCTGCCGAATGCGGACCGACCGCGGAGGAACATGTCAGAAACATGCCAGACCCCTTCGGTACCGGCACTGGAAGATATCAGGCACGGGAAGATACCCGCGGCAAGCCCGGCAAGCAGCGCACTAACGGCACGCCACAAATAAATGCATGACACACAACGGACAACACAACCAACGGGCGCGCGTACAGAACAAAAATACGGGCATACAGCATCACAGACACGCGCCACACACACAAAAAAAACACCAGCCACCACTACGAGTGCACACCGACTCGTGAGGGCAGCAGCAGCATGTCGGGGCAGTTTGCCATGCAACTACGTGATGTTAGCGGGTATGCATATGCATTACATGTATGTAATACGAAGTGCAAATCCGACCCGATATCCCGCGGTCGGTCCGCAGTCGGCAGCCATGGATAGGAAAGATGCTATGGATACGGCGTTGGGAGGTTCTGAGACGATCCGAGGCTATTTGATGTTCTGCCGTGCGGTGACGTGCAGGTCGATTTCCGCTCGATTTCCGCTGTCCGCAAGTGGACAAAAGTGGGGACAATTTGGACAGACGTGGGCCAAAATACAAATATATGAAAAATGAAAAAATAAGTGACGCCGCTGGGTATACCCACCACGATGTCAGACAGAGGTGGGCACTCTGGTGAGGCCTTGCGCGCCTCGGCGGTGTTAGGGCTACAGGTGTGCCTGAAAGTGGGAAAAAATCGATGCCCGTGCTGTGTATGGTCCCTGGCTGTGTCGCCCAGGTGTCAGAATGGGGTTTCGAGTCGTTTGGGGGTCGCCTATGGAGGGCGCGCGCGCTGGATTTTGGAGTACCCACTTTTGTCCGAGAATGGCGTGGGTATACCCACTTTTATCCATTTCCCTTTAAAAAATAACAGTGAAATCATCTGTGGGTAGGGGCTTGAACTACAACATGACAGCAACGCCGAGCTACGTATGTCACGGAGGCTGCTTTACCAGAACGACGCCCGCTGTTTCTACTGATTGATAACGTCGAATAACGTCGAGCACCGGGTCCGGTAGGATAAGCCTACGAAGAAAAGGAGTGTGTCTTCCGACCTTTGACGACCATCGTCTCTGCTTAACGGGCACTCGTGGTTGATCTTGGAAACGTTGTTGTCGCTGGGAGGTGTACTTAAATCTACGTCCCTTTTTGTTGTGTGATTTGGGGGGCACCATACTCCTTGACGCAACGGTATCCTTAACGCGGGAACGACTGTAGGTTCTTCAATGAGGGGTTGTTGTTCGTGATCCGAAGGTGTGCCTAACACATGTCCATGGGAGGAGCAACTTCGTACGGCACAAGCGACAGGAAGCCACGCGGAGATCGGGAAGCCACTCGTGTATCGTCAGCTCTCTCTTTCTCTCTCTCTCTCTCTGGTCTCACACGGCAGGATGATGTGAAAATGAAATAGTGAATCGAAACATGGACTACAATCACAGAAAAGCTTAAATGCTACTGTACCCACATTTATGCATATATATTGATACGATGGCATCGGATGGGTAGGGTAGAAGATGGACGCCGACGAAAACAAACTACAAACTCGTGTGTGAAGAGAATGCCGGAGATGGCAGAGACAACCGAGTGGTTGAGTCACGAAGGTCACCTGTCTGCTCTGTTCATTGCGGAGGATGTGATACGGGTAAGCAATGAAGTCG